ATTGTATTCGCGTGCCAAGAATGTGTGATTGGGTGGCGTGTTCGTGTGACGAGAATGTGAAATTGTGAAATGTGTGTGAGGTGTGCGTGTTTGGCAGTGTGTAGGTGTGGCCGTGTGACAAATGTGGTTTGAGTGGAACGAAGGTACTGGAATGTAGGATTGGTTTGAAAAGTGAGACCCTGAGGCGTGTACGTTTACGCGGGGTGAGGTCCGTCCTGAGGCGTGTACGTTTACGCGGGACGATGCCGTCCCTGACGAGGTGACGATGCCCGGCCCGACGGGGTGACGATGCCTGACGTGGTCAGAAGACCGTTGGCTTGATGCGTTTTACGCGGGCGCGGTAGAAGGAAAGTGTGTGTAGGATTCCATCCTGAGGCGTGTTCGTTTACGCGGGACGATGCCGTCCCTAACGAGGTGACGATGCCCGGCCCGACGGGGTGTCGATGCCTGACAAGGTCAGAAGACCGTTGGTCTGATGCGTTTTACGCGGACGCGGTAGTGGTGGAAAGGTTGAGAACGAGCGGGATTTGGCAAGATGAGTGAGAGGATTGTGAAAGTGATGCATGGTGTGAGTTAGTGTGCGAGTGTGTTTGTATCGCGTGATGCAGTGCGCGATTATGGGGTAAAATCTGCTAGGTATGGTATGGGACGTGCCCAAGTAGGTTTTGCTTTATAATCGAGGCACGCGCGCGGCTGTGATGTACTGCTGTGGTATGATTGGCGTGTGTATTGATATGTGGAAAGTGTGTGATGGCATGTGTGCAAGAATTGTATGTTGGGATTGTGGGCTAACGTGCATGGTACGTATGCAGAGAGTCCAGGTATGTGTGAATGTTTGATTGCTGGTTGTGTAGTTGTTTGGTTGCGCGTTTGGATGTGTCTGGAATTACGTGATAGCCTAGGTGGGGCTTAAATTGTGACTTATTGATATGTGATCTCATGGTTGTTTCAACCAAACCATTTCAGAGCCTCCGCCTGAATGTCGAGATTGAGGTTGACTCGGAGTCGTCGAGTGAGCAGACAGCTGCGGAGGATTCAGGTGGTGATGCCGAGGACAGTGAGTCAGAGTGGACGCCTTCGAGAGGGCGTAGGGGATAGTTCTGGGAGGAGGATGCGCCCCATTTTTGGATAGTGCTGACCTAGAGAGCTGATGTTGATAATTTGGTGGTTTGGAGTTTATAGTTCGGTGTGTTTATAAATTATTTTGTGGTTTGTATTCGCGGATGATGTAAATAATTGGAAGTGTAATATATGCTTGGTGGTTTGACGATTTGTTCCTTCTTGGTGTTCTCCAATTTTAATGTCCGGGATTTTTTATTGCTTCCGCCGCGATTTAACTCTGATGGATCGTTGAGTCGGCGACGTTATTCCTGGGACGTCGCACTCTTCCGACCGAGGAGAGGGATGTCGCGGGTTCGATGGGGTTCGAGGCGTGACAAATTAGTAGGTATTACATACAAAGTTGTTGTAAATCAGTGCTAAATGCTTTTACCTGTGGATGTCAATAGAATGGTCTAGCCTGAGAATTTCCACCATTGGGTAAATTTCCTGCAATGACACATTTATTTCTCTACATGTTTTCCTTTGGTTGCTCATATATTAGATATGTGTATCCTCTTACGGAAAAAAATAAAACTCGATATGACAGATGATTTTGACCATTATTGGAAATGTTTCCGATCGATCTAAAGTCCAATTATTTTTAGTGCGTAAACGGAATGAGTCATAAGTCTGATATATAACGATCTATTTAAATTCAGTTGTATATCGTACTTGAGCTTTTATCAAATACATGTAAGAACCATGTTTGATATTGCGAAATTGCCGCCCACCCTTCGATTGATCAACATCATTAAAATCTAAAGGTCTAGATTTCAATTTTTCCAAATAGTTAAATAATCACTAGGGATGCATATGGTCTTGCTTCTAGAGGAAAGCAATCCTAGAAAAAAGACCTGCCATTTACAGATTGTGCAAGTCTATCCAGGGCAATAATGAGCCTGACAAAATATTTTCTTATTTATGGAGCCTTTCATCTATTGATTAGCCATGCCCTAGCCCCTAACAAATCCTCTCTCCGTAGCCTATGTTTGTGTGGAGATGTTGCTCCATGGACGTAAGCCTTGTGATGCCAAGCAAACGAAGAATCGTGCCTCCTATCGGGCTTCTAGGCAAACTACTCTCGACCTGAGCTGCAATGATCATGTCTCACATGGTCCAAACTTGCAGGTAGACGTCGGATTAGTGATTTACCAGAGAAGTGCTCCCATCCTTGCAAGGGATGGAAAGAGGGCGAAAGAGCGATATTCGAAGACGCATCAGCAAAAATAATTCGTCTTCTCATGGGTATTAATCGATCAACTAAACTATTCAGACTCGATTATTTGGTTGTTGTATAATTCTTATTCACTACGCAAACTACTAATCTAGGTTTTTCTCGCACTTTTATTGCAGTAACGAACTGTTACAGTGGGATGAAGTTCTGGGCTTCAATCCAATCCATCACCATTCTACGCAGCCAAATGCAAACGAAGCTGAAAATCCGGAACATATGTTTTGCTTAGGTTCCATGCCGATCCTTGCTCTTATCAAAGGGAAAACTGCAAGTTGACCGCCCATGTGAAACCCCAGGATTTTGCATCAACCTCGTCTTCGGTCCAATTCCTTTCTCTGATCTCGACCTTGAGCCTCAATTCACCCACACCTCCACCAGTTCCTCAATTTGTTTCTTAGAAATGGCATTCACTGCTCACTAAGGTTTCTCTTGCACCTCGGTTTAGTCGACGGGAAAACTTTGTATCAAATCCTCATCTAGTTTCGACGGATATTTGTTTTCAATAGTAGCTGATTGGGTTGATTTGGGGTCGAGTATGAATCGCTAAATTGTATTACATAAAAGAAATGGATCAATATGGGTTAAGTGGATTAATTTGGGTCTGATCCAGTTTCGATTCATCCAAATCCGACTCGGCCACCTATATGACAGGTTTACCTGGTGGCGTGTTTAGGGCTCTCCTAGCTTTCCATAAGATGGTTTACTTACTACAACCAACATACGCAAGGCAAACCCCGGTTTCCTTAGGGTTATCCAAAAAAATAAAAAAGGAAAGGAGAAATGATGCAGGAAGAGAACATTGAAACAAGTTAGGGTCGATAGATTCCACTTTCATGTATCTGATGCAAAGATAGTATAAAGACTTATCATTTTTGTGTGGTGCCATGATAGCTTTCATTGATTTTTATTCTCCAAGGATTGTATTGCAAAATACATGAATTATACACATCTTCTCCCGTATAACAAATCTCATATTATGATTCATTTTTAACTTACATACGCTATCGCTCTCAATGCAAACAGTGCAATGAATCTCGTGCATGCTTACCTGAGTTGCTGAGATGGTAGAGCACACTAACAATTTTCCTTAACAAGCGGAGGCCTTGAATGTGCGCATGCCCATGCTCCATTGGGAAAGTCCATCTGGACTTTGATTAACAGCATAGTTGTTAAATTGAAATAATATATCGTGAATCGAAATATTAAATTTATGAACCGTAACTAATCGGAATACAATATACAAATTAAAATTCATCATTCCATAGGTTAAAGTATAAAAAGTTGAATTGCTCTACAAATGCAATCTCAACGTCTCTCTATTTCTAGCAAAATGACAGATCTTCCATTCTATTACTCTCTACATTATCGATTGGCCACCAAAGATTGGTTGCTTAAGTTTAACATGCTGGTCTACAATCTCTGCTACCTCTGTAATTTCCTTAGATGAAGATGGGTACTAATTTAGACCTGTTAAATGGGTGGGTCGGGTCGGGTCGGGTTTAGGTCGGGTCATAAATGGTCCGATCTAAATTGACCCATTAACCCATTTATGACCCATTTATGCGTAATGCAATTTTCTTGACCCATACCCGACTCGATCCATACCCAACCCATACCTCATCAGACCCATATTACTAAAGCACTTCCATATTTAATTAAATCTAGGAAAATTCATACCCAAACTGAGATGAGAGTGCGAAGTGAGTGAGCGCAATGTTAAGTAAGGACGAGAGAGATAAGTTCAGTTTAAATTAGTTGTAAACTCATTTATGACCCATTTATGATCCATTTATGATCCATTTAATACTAATATTAGACTTCTACCCATTTATGACTCATTTACTAAATATAACTAACCTATTTATGATCCATTTACTAATATATGGGTTAAGAAATGGATTTATGACCCATTTTGACAGATCTAGGTACCATATGTTTTTTTTTCATGTTTCTTTTCCTTCCAAATTTGCAAATCTACATTGCAACCTCACCTCATTGATAGAGCCCCTGAATGCTCGCACCTATTCGTCTTTTGAATAAGGGAAAACACTCAAATTAAAAGGTGTGTTTATTTCACTAAAAACTTCATGATGAAAGAAAATATTTTTCACGAAAATCGTTTTCAAGGAAAAATAGATAGTTTTCATTTGTCTGGTAGTTTAGGAAAGTGTTTTCCTTTTTCCCAAATGACGAAGTCCTTTTCCTCCAATTTAAATGTGTAAATCGATTAGTTTCCATCATCCAAATATTGTAAAGTCGGAAAATAATTTTTCAGGAAAACAAATCCTAAATATATATATTGAAAAAGGAAGGTAACTTCTTACCGCAGATTACAGTGCCGCGAAATGTGATATACCAATGGTACCTTAGCCTCATCTCTGCTTTAGGGGTTATCTTCTAAATTTATTAGCTGGTGCTCTTAGTGCTACTTTAGATTTGGTGCTCTTATTTATTTATTTTTGGCAATTAATTTGACTCTAATGTCTCAATAAATACATATTCTCCATTTCTTTGATTATCTATTGATATTTGCCTCGTTTGACATTTTATCATACCCATTAAGTAGGAGAAAATTTTAAATAATTTTTCAAATAAAAGTGTGAAGTAAATTTTGTTTTTTTCTCGAGCTAATCAAGGGCATTTTCGTCCTTTTACTTTTGCAGGAGAGGAGGAGGAGGAGGAGGAGGAGGAGGCTGAACTGAGGTGGAGGGGATGCGCAGAGGGAGCGAGCTCCGTAGAGGGTGGTGACGATGATGGCGGTGGATGCGGGCTTCGTGCACAAGACGTGGGACAAGTGGGCTTCCACTTATGTTGGGTCTGGTGCTGGTGAGCGAGCGCTCGAGCTTGATGCGATTCTTTATCATTGTCAGTTTGGTTGAATTGGGCTGGGAAATGCTCGAAATGGTTTGAAATTTCGTTCTTCTTTGTTGCTGCGATGCGCAGGGCAACCGTTGAAGGCAGCTTTGCTACTCAATCATGACCCAACGGGGCCCTCCCGGTTGCTGTCTACCATGTACGGCTTGTACCAATTCCTTTCGTCCTGCGTGTGAAGTTTTTTCATTCTGGTTGAATGAGTTCCTTCGGATTTTGCTAATCTAATTGCAGGACTTGAGTTTTGTAGCTTGAGTTGGTAAAAGGGTCTTGTCTAATTTTGAGTGGAATTCTCGTTTCCTTGGGTGAAACTTAGATGGGACTCGGTAGTGTTTTGGCAACAACTGAGAGTTGGATGTGTTGTTCTTTGGCTGCTGCTGTTACTGGTGTAGCTAGAGAAATTATAAGGAGGAATTTGGTTTTTTTTTTTGTTTTTGTTCTTTTGGGCCAAACAAACTTCACAGAGGTTTCTCTTTACAAGCAGCATCATGTGGAATCTGTAAACCAAAAGGAACATTGGTCATCCAATCTTCCTTACGGGCTTTGTCTCTTGCATGAGTTGCTACCCAATTGACAGGCTGGTTAGCTGATCTTCAAACACAATTCCATGGAATGTCTTCAAAGCTTCAAAGCTTGTCCATGATGTCCTAGACTATGAATTTGATTTTCCATTTGCATGGAAAATTTTGAAATGTCAACAGTTAAAAGACTTGCTTGACATCTGTTTCGATATTGAGCATTCTACAACCTTCTTAAGCAGCTTGTTGAAGGCCACTTTGGATTGCAAGAGATTTCGCGAGTTCTACATCATTTGCCTGAACTGCACCCCTATTCCACCTGGAAAATCTACTCTTTCATCATGAGCAACTACTCATATTCTCCCTTTACTAGATTCCATGATTACACCACCATCACAATTCATTTTCACCGCTCTACTCCATAATCAGGCTTCCTCCATACCTGTGCCTCCCCTTTTATCTTCTGAAGTTCTCTAGTTACCTTGGTCTCTGTCAAAGCCTTGATCTGGAAGAATTCCTTCGTTGCAGAGCTTAACTTAAGCAAAGTCTTTGAAGGGTCATTAACTCTCCCTTGAGAGGTTGCCTCTCATCTATTAATCCTATTTACCCACAACCAAACCTACTTTAGAAAAGAATGCATCTTTGCTTCCCCATTTTGTCTGCACTCATTGAGCAAGTTTAACAACCATCAATCAAAGGTTCGCATACTTCATTCTGAATTTTGGGACCCAACCCAACAGACTTAACCCAACACATTGACTCCATGGTCAGCGCAAAACCACGAAATGAGCATGCTACACTTTTTTTAGTTCTCCTGATAAAATAAGTTTTTTCTGACAGCAAGATCATTTTGGCACAATCTCCATATGAAGAGTTTTACACTTCTGGTGGGCATTGAAGGCTCCAAATCATTTTCCATACTCTATCATCTATTAAAGATGGAAGAAGATGGGCCTTTGTGTTTAGCTCTAACCATTTTTCCGTTTATAACATTATATAGTTTTTTCACTGTTAGTTCCCCTCTTTTCTCTAGTGGGCAATTGACTCTATCTTTGGACATTCTAGCACATTGAGGGGTTTCCAAAATAGCCTTTTCCTCTTCCTCAGAAGCATTATTCCTCACTCTGTCAGATCCCAAGAGTGACTTAGATGACAAAGTAAGGCTTTATCCTTTAAAGTTGGATCAGCTTCCCCTTCTCTGGTTTACTTCATTGTGATTGACTTCGAGGAACCGATGCATCTCTCCACACTTAGATTTCTTACTTGCCACATAGGGCCCTGTTTAATCTCTGTTATCTGTTGCACGATACTAGACCAACCCAAGAATCTCTCCTTCCTATCTGAGCATTTAAAAATTCAGAATGGGGAAAGTAGATGTATTTTAAAATTTCAACCCAGAAAGTAGTAGGACTATGTTGTAATTTCCATGCTAGTCTTGCTAGTAGGGCTAAATTTATCAAATCTGTAAAGCCCTTCCCTTCGTTAGTTTGGGACTCAGACATAAGATCCCAACTCCTCCAATGGAGTTCATTTCCATTCTTCTGGTGACCCAGCCATAAATTATCTATTGTCTTGTCAACCTCTTTACACCATCATTTTTGGAAACTTAAACCATCCCGTAGACTATGTGGGGATTGCATAGGCCACGACTTCACTAAGACTTCTCTTGCTGCCTGCACAAGCATTAATCCTCTCACCCTTGCAACTTCCTTAGATCTTGACAAAACCGAAAAGCTTTCGCCTTAGATCTGCCCAGGGGAGACCTGGATATTTTCCCGGATTATTTAAGTCTCATCCTTTACATTTGAATTTAAAAACAAAGAGGAGTTTTGGAGACTTACACTCTGGCCTGAAGCTCTGCAGTAGTCACGTAGCACTTTCTTCATCCTTTCTGCATTATTTTACAATTGCATTGAGAAAAAAACGAGTCATGTACAAAAAAGAGATGAGAAAGGACAGGACATCTTTTCTTTGGAAGAATGCCATTCAGGGATCCTTCAGCCATGGATTCCTGCACTGACAAGAGTATTGGGCAGTGGTGACTAAATGGAAGAGCTCTAATTTTTACCACATATTCTAAGCACGGTGTGGTGATAAGGAAGTTCCTCTTGTGATTAATTTGCACGTGAGAAGTGACCTATTTGTGGATTCCTTCTGCTCCTTGTTCAAATGAATCAATAGCGCAGGTGCTGCTTTGTTTGAGCCTCATTCTTCTTGTGTCGTCTCTGTGGCTTTTGAGTGTGTGGACTAATGTGTACTCTTGCTTATTGCTTAATTTGTGATGCCAGCACCAATTGGAGGGTAAGCTTGGGGACTGCTGTATTAATGCCTTTCACTCTTGCTGCTCTCTGAATATAGGTTGCTGGTTGAAATGTGATATGCTTGTCCATCATGGACCAGAATTTGATGTGGTATGATGTGAAACCTTTCTTCCTTTCCCCTGTCCGGAAATCGTTTAGGTGAATAGTCCTTCTAAGGAAAATTTATTATGTGCTTATTGGGTCATTACAGCACTCACTGCTTGTGGGAGAGAAGGAAACAAGTTGTTTTATACTGACGTGTAGTAAACCTATGTACATATAGCTGTGTCGGTTCATGTGTTGTGGAGGGCCTTTCCTGCAAAACATGTGCTTGTAATTGTTCTGTATAGATAAAACAGATTTGAGTGCCTATGATCTTCTTTACGTGTTATTCTGCATCCTGTATCTGGGATTTGGGACAAAGTTCAAAAGTTATGCCTGTGGTATTGACTATAGCAGCTTGCTTAGATATCCATGTTATGTTGATAGGTACATGTCTTGCGATCTTCTTTAGTTATTCAAAATCAGTTGAGTCACAGCCTTTATGAGCCCGTTTCTGAGGTATGGAAATTTGATTTGACGATTGCAGTGCCAAACAAGAAGGAATAAAGGCAGATCCCATTCAATTCAGGCAATTTCTTGATTTTCTCAAATGTGGAAAGCTCCAGACCGAGACTTTCTTTATTGGGCCAAACCAATGTACATACATCTCTTTCTGTCATATTTTTCTCACCTTCTCATTTCTCAACTACAAGCATTGTACTTCTGGTTCTTTGTTTGAAGGGAGTGTAATTAGTTTTTAGACTTGAAGGGTTGGGCCGTGAGTTTCTTTGAAGCTAGAATAGAGAAGCTCGTTCATTATAATCTGATTTTAAAAGTTACAGTATTCTAGAAGTCATATTAGTCTTGCTCATTTTTGGCAATTCTCTGATCAAGTTAATCTTCTTATGTGCTCAAGTGCTTGAGTGCGTGCCTTATGTGCGTCGAAGTGTGCATGAAGTTGTTTGCCCCTCCATCCACACCCCAAACCATATTACACTGGAGGAGGAAGAAAAGGGATAAAAGATTGTAGTTCTTTTTTTTAATCCAAATTTTGCATTTTCTTGTAAGCATCAAATGCACTAGGAGTTGTGTATGTTTTCAACCTAGACTTTGACGTTCACTTTTGATTTGGCTTGCTGTAGTGTAAATTGATTAATGTTCGGTTGATGTGATTTTGATGGCAGACCTTGTCACGTCGATCCATGAGAACTGGTTCTGCGCAAGATGCATGAACACATCAAATTCTGCTGGTGAAGGTGCTATTGTCATGCAAACAACAGCTTTCATCTTGGTGGCACTGTGAGCATAAGTTTTAAGGATGTTGGCAGATAGAAAGAATTGGTTTAGGACGATAATGAAAGCATACTGTGCAGTTTTAAGCAATCAGATATTGCAGATAATGCTTCAGCATGCATTTCCCCCATCTATGACAGGTATGATGGTTCAATTGGAGCGGCATCGAGTGCTGTAATGGCTGCTGATCAGTTTGCATGGCAGTTAAATCGAAAAAATCTTTGACCTTGCAGCGAAGTTGAAATTGTAAGCATCACGATTTTCTCTTGTTTTGCTGTTTGGATAAATCAATCTGAAGGAGCTCAAACTATGTTTCCGTCCAAGTTTGTTAAGTAAATCGTAAAGAGCTCAAAACTACATTCGCTTGAGCTGCTTTCATGGGATAAACACGAAATGGACTTTTTTACCATGTTCTCTGACATTTGTTTTTTTGTCATGGAAAGGTATGGTTCATCAGCAGACTCTTCCTGTACCAGTCTGAGCCAAATACTTGCAGCTGGAGATCATGATAATCCAGTGAATCCATTGAGCAAATCTGTCATTGATGGCAAGGAGATCATCTGTCTTGCTAGCCTTCAACTTTGTCACTGCTGGGCTCAGAATGTTCAAACAAGACGAGCTCCAGTAGGTTTGATGGTTGTTGCGAGAATTTTCAAGCGACTAGTATTTACGAGCATTGGACTTTGGTTAGGATGAATTGGGTGAAGGACTCTCTGAGTTAAAAATCCTGTGTGAGATCGTTGGTCTGCTATTTCTTACAAAACTGAGGTCATCTTATTGCGGCGAATTGCTTTGTTCTTTTGCCCCCTTATTTGCTGAATTTAAACTCTACTTGATGGATTCATCTTCGTTAGCTGCCTTGTGCTATATTGCTATTTGGCCATCCTGATACTGGGCGAAGGTCTTGCTGGTGTCTGCATTGTGATTTTCCTCTGTACAAAGATCGTTAAATAAGGTTCAGCTTGCTTACTATTGCCGTCAACATCATTTTTGTTCCTGGCCTTCATACCGATAATAGAAATTAGAACAGGGATGAAACTGTGCTTAGATTAATTACGTTTATGTTCTATCGTCCTCATCCACTTCTTTTAGCATCGAATGAGCCCTTTTATTTTAAAGCAAGTCTCCTTAGTTTAATATCGGACTACCACCTTCTTCGGAGAAAAACTAGTGGTGTAGCATGAAGCAGAAATGAAGAAAACAGAAGTTGATCATGGCAGGATTTCGTAAGCATGGCACAAGCAGAATAGTCATAAAAATAGAAGTTTATTAGTACTTTCAATAAAAATTGAGAGCTACTTTTTTCTCAATTTCATTTCTTTAACAGGAGATATATGTCTCCGCTGTAGATCTCACACCAAGGCAGTCCTATAGCTCGTTACGAAGCATGGCACAAGATGAAGCCCAGGGATGTTAAGTTGCATTGCTTATTCTCTCACGCCATTATTGTACAGACACTGAAGCGTACATTATCAATTGATCATCTCTAAATGTACAATTTCATGGCAAAAAAAATATATAGACTCGGAAGAATCAGATCAAACATGGGAGCTTGTTGACTGAATAAAGGAGAAAGATCTTGTTGGTCTACAATGGATCTATGAGGCAAAGTAAAGTAAAGACGAATCGATCCAGAAGCACAAGAAGGCCAGATTAGTAGCAACAAGCACAAGGACCCATTTGTCCTCATAACCCAAGTCAAGGACTGTTGCTAGATCCTGCAACAAGAATTGGCTCTTTTTTAAACCATTTTATAATGCATGACGAAAATATGTTGAACAAAACTATGATAACTTATGTACAAAGGAAACAAGTCAGATCAGCAGAAGAAATCCTTAGAGCATTTCCAAAATTCTTCATTTGGAGTTTGTCCTATGTTTACCACCTACAGCAAAAGAGCAAGCATCCTCTGCTATCAGAATTCTATTGAGCTGTCTGCTCTTAGACTGGGAAACAAGCTACCGACTTGTCTTATAATGGTATAAAGAAAACATGAAGCAAAGTGAATTATTGGATAGCTAAGCCAACATCAGTATTGTCCTTCTAGCAAAAAATCAGAACTTTCTCCCAAACTAGACTAGGAAACACTAAAGTATATATGTTGAAATGATATGCAAGACTAACCACAAGCATATAAACAAGTGAACTGAGTCAAATACAGGAGCAAGGGATAGAGAATTTGGTCAATCAATTTATAGTGGTTCGGCCCAATCTCGGTGCCTACGTCCACTCCCCGAGCCTTGTCGGGAGGTTAAATCCACTATCTCAAAAATATTTTACAGTTTGTTTGATAAGGAGCCAAATTCTCCAGAACAACTTCAATTCATAACTCGTACAAGTGATTGTCTCTCAACAGACAATAGCAAGCCATTTTCACAAATGTTTCAGCAATCTCCATCAGAATACAAGTGTTCTGCCCACTGAAAAATACTCAAAATAGACCTCACTATGTTCGCAAATAAACTAAACAAAAGCTAGCTATTGAAGCTTCAAAATCAGTTCACTTGAAACAGGGTCAGTCAATTGGCCCGAAGGACATGGTGACCAGGTTAATTCTTGCCACAGCCTGTCAGGTCCAGAGACGACTCCAAAATGACAATCCTTCCACTCATTACTTGATCTGATCTCCTTCATAAATCCAAGATTGACTTCAGCTCAAGTTGTTTCACTTCTTCTTCCTCAGTCCTTCACAACAGAGTTACTATCCTGAACCACCTCTTTGTTGCCTGTATAGCTGCCATATACATTGAACGAGTGGGGTACTGGGTACCATAACAGCTGTGTATCTGGTTTAGCGGCTCACTATGCCTTTAGGAATGGAAACACCATGAAAAGCATCATATGTAAAAATAGTCCAAGGCCATATAATGTGCTTGTCCCACATGATTAGATAATAACTGTTCGGGAATCCCAACACCAGGGTTCACTCCAAACATTCATCTACATGCAGATGGGAGCAGCTTGTGACAAATTAATTCATTTTTATGAGCAAGTCAACAAGTTTTGGTGCTATATGCAGGACAGAATAGTAGTCATCCATAAAGAAGAAGATGTCAAAGAAGATTCTACCTACAGAGAGCATTGTACCTGATTTTGGGATACTCCACCAAGCGAGACTTGCAGGACTCAAAAGGCATGAGGAGATGAAACATTTTTATGATTTCTTACTGGAAATCTTCCTCCAATAATTACTGTTCTTGGAATCGTTCCATTTGCTCACATCCCAAGCCTAATATGCTGAGATCTGGAGAAATCAATAATGAGCTAGGGAATTCAGCAGTTAAAATAAGTTCTCCCTCTGATCCAAAAAAGAGGGAGTAATTTCTCCTGCAAGAATACGAGAATTACCAAGAGCAAATCATATCATTTGCCTCTCTTTACCAAAAAAAAAAAAAAAATCATATCATTTGCCTCCATCTGTAATGTTGCCGAAGACATTTTTGACGGCATAGTCAGTGAATGCCCAGCAGCAAGAACATAAAATAAGGGCCCTTTTGATACAGTCATCACCAAATATCTGTTGACCACTTCCACAAACTTTTCGATTCTACCTACAAGAATCAGATCAACACACAAAAACTGACTAAAGGTGAAAAAGAGATGAAAATTTAAGCAGATGAAGGAAAAGACAAGAATCACGGTGTTTCCTCACCAGCATCAAGAAAGTGGCATTGTGAATCTCCCAGAAAAAGATGTTCACTTGAACGAAGTATGGACCGTCAAGATATGAACAAGAAATATTCTGTGAAAAATGCCATGTTCACCCTATTTCAGAGTTCATTGAACAAGAGCGAAAATACAATACATAAGGAAATGGGTGATTACATAAAGCATGACCGTGTCATGATCTTGTCCTCGTTGCTAGATGAGGACAATAAACACGCATGGGAACTTAATTCTTCTGGCCCCAATCATCAACAGCCATGGAATTGACGATGAATACCCAGAAAAGAAAATATTTGTGAAGCAATCGGTAGGGATCTGAATGTTACTGGAGTCGAAGAGAATTAGGAGAAGGTTAAAGCCATACCAATTCCAATACCAATCTGAGATGAAGAGTCGAGACTTACGGGGTCTTTCTTCGGGATGACAAACACGAAGCGGAACTTGATACTTTTGGCCGCAATGATCAATAGCCATCAAAGAAAAAAAAAATATAAAGCGATCGGTGGGGATTTCAACATTACCGGAGTCGAAGAGAATTAGGAGGAGAAGGTTATGGCCTTACACATTTTTATCAGCATCTCAGTGCATGCCCAGCAGCAAGAACATATATGAATCAACAAATAAATGTTGACCACTTTGAAAAACTTTTCGATTCCATCTATAAGAATCAGATCAACATGTGAAAACTTACTTGAGGCAAAAAAAGAAAAAAATGTGAGCAGATGAAGGAAAAGAAAAGCATCACGATGTTTTCTCACCCAGCATCAAGAAAGTGCATTGACGAGAATCTCTAATAAGAGATGTACACTTGAACAACGTCTGGACCGGAAATATATGAACAAGAAATATTCAATAAAAAATGCCATGTTCATACAATATCTGAGAGTCTAATGAACAAGACTGAAAATAGAATACAAAAGGACACATATGATTACATAAAGCAAAATGCCATGTTCACACATTATCTCAGAGTTTTTTTTGGGTAAAGCACATTATCTCAGAGTTGATTGAGAAAGACTGAAAGTACAATACAAAAGGAAACAGATGATTACATAAAACATGGCCTTGTCATGATCTTGTGCTCATTGTAGATGACGATGATAAACACACACTGGAACTTGATTCTTTTGGCCCCAATTATCAACAGCGATCGAATAGACGATTAATACCCAGAAAAGAAAAGAAAAACTATGAAGCAATCGATAGGGATTTCAACATTACCGGAGTGGAAGAGAAATAGGAGGAGAAGGTTAAGGCCTTACACATTTTTAACAGCATCGTCAGTGCATGCCCAGCAGCAAGAGCATACAAGAGGATCCTCTTGATACAGTCATCAACAAATACATGTTGACCACTTTCACGAAACTTTTCGATTCCACCAATAAGAATCACATCATCACGCGAAAACTTGCTTGAGGCTAAAAAATGATGAAAAGTTGAACAGATGAAGGAAAGGAAAAGCATCACGATGTTTCCTCACCCGCATCAAGAAAGAGGCACTGCCGAGAATCTCCCATAAAAGATGTTCACTTGATCGAAGTCTGGACCGACAAGATACGAAGAAGAAATATTCTGGGAGAAATATGTTCAGAATTCGTTGAACAAGACTGAAAATAGAATGAATACAAGAGAAAACGGATGATCACATAAAGCATGCCCGCGTCATGATCTTGCCCTCGGTGCCAGATGACGATGATAAACACAAGCGGGAACTTGATTCTTTTGGCTGCAGTCATCAACAGCCACGGAATCGATGATCAATACCCAGAAAAGAAAATGTTTATGAAGCAATGGGTAGGGATCTGAACGTCACCGCAGTCGAAGAGAGCTAGAAGGAGAAGGTTAAAGCCATATCAATCCCAACACCAATCTGAAATGAGAGAGTCAAGACTTACAGGACCGAGAGAGCGTGGGAGAGTGTTGGGGGATGTGAAGAGTGGAGCGAGAGGTGTATAAGTAGCGAGAAAATGGCGGTGAAATTTCAAAGACGGTTAAACGGCCGTTGGTTGACAGTTGGTACTGTAAAATTATGATTTTCATTTTTATTGGAAAATAATGTACGGATTCTATTGATTTTCTGACTAATGTTTTTTTTATGCAATTTGATCCAATGGCAACACTTTCTATATATTAAACTACTTTATAAAGAAAAGTTTTGATTTAAATTTATGCTTTTTTGTTCCGCTAAACATCAATGTCAATTCCGATAAAAAAAAAACAAAAAAGCACGTCAATGTCATCCAATGATATGTAACATTTTGGAAGTGTTGATTATCGAATTTGCGAAAATTGTTAACGCATTGAAAGTTATAATGTCTACAATTGATCGCCAAAACATCAGTAGTACCTTATCTATTATAAAAAAAATTATATCCATCGTCATTTATCAATTATCAGGACATTGGATCAAGCCTTCGACGCAAAACTAAACTCGTCCCTATAGTTTAGAACTCTTGACCTGCCAATCCTTCGCAACAGGCTTTGCCAGTTACCGGATGTAGCCAGTTTACAAGTGATGTGAGTCAAAGAATTCAGAAAGAATAATCGTAAAAAAAATTTTTAAACCGATTTATAATTTATCAATTTGTTCCTAAACTTTTTAATGATTTGCTAATCTCATTCCGTTCAAATTGATGGAAATGACTACACTGATAAATTATTAAAAAATTAACAAAATTATTTTAAAATAAAATTGACATGTCGTACAATAAATTTACGATTTTTTTTTATGATAATTTTCCCGAATTCAGAGTAACACATCAACAAGCATAACAGCCATAGTATATTTAAGTTCTTGCTTTAACACGAACCGATTCTTCTCATCTCCTTCCTGTAACTCAAGACCGCCATCGTCAAACCACCCTCTCTTCAGTCGTCAAATCGTTCATGGTTTCCCTTTGCTTTCTCCGACCTCGGCGGCTCTCGCACGCGCAGTCGGCGACCTCAAGCGCCTGCTCTCTCCGACCACTCTGCCAGTCCTCCGGTAGCGACTACCCTTCACCGCAACCCGATCCTCCACCGTCCTGTCGGTCTCCATCCGTCGTGGCATCGATCTGTTCGATGGTGCGCGATGCTCATCACAAGCATGCCCACCTGCGAGCATCGCCTCCGCGCCTCGGCCTTAACGTGGATTGCGATTCTTTGACCCGTGAACAGGCCGTTACCGTCGTTGCCTCACTGGCCAATGAGGCTGGTTCGATGGTGGCGTTGGGTTTCTTTAACTGGGCCATTGGGTCTGATAAGTTTCGGCACTTCATGAGGCTTTATATAGTTTGCGCCGCGTCGTTGATCGGTAACGGTAACTCGGAGAGGGCCAATGAGGTGATGCAGTGTATGGTCAAAAGCTTTGCTGAGATTGGGAGGTTGAAGGAGGCTGTTGATATGGTACTTGAAATGCAGAATCAGGGTCTGGTGCCCACTACCCGCTTGATGAATTTCGTCATGGAGGTCGCCATCGAAAGGGGTTTTCTTGACTATGCACGGAACGTGTTTGATTATTTGTCTGAGAGAGGGGTTTGTCCTGATCCTAACAGTTATAAGCTGATGGTCGTTGCTTACTGTCGAATGGGGAGTATTCTCGAGGCAGATGCTTGGTTGAGTAAACTGATTGATAGAGATTTCATTATTGATAATGCTACTCTTACCTTGATCACCAACTCGTTTTGTGAGAAGGGGTTTATGAATCGAGCTATTTGGTATTTCCGGAAGATGGCTGATCTGGGTTTGACGCCGAATGTTTTAAATTATACCTCACTGATCAATGGGTTATGCAAGAAAGGCAGCATTAAGCAAGGATTTGAGCTCCTGGAGGAAATGGTTAGAAAAGGTTGGAAGCCAAATGTGTATACTCATACGGCGTTGATTGATGGTCTCTGCAAGAAGGGTTGGAGTGATAAGGCATTTAGACTCTTCCTTAAGCTAGTCCGGAGTGAAAATTACAAACCGAACGTGCATACATACACTGCCATGATCAGTGGCTATTGCAGAGAAAACAAGATGAACCGTGCAGAGATGTTATTCGGCAGAATGCAAGAACAGGGACTGATACCTAACACCAATACATACGCGACTCTCATCTATGGCCATTGTAAAGGTGGGAATTTCGAAAGAGCATATGAGTTGATAGGCATAATGACAGATGCGGGCTTCAGTCCTAACATCTGTACATACAATGCGCTTATCGATGGTCTATATAAGAGGGGTAGGTTTGGAGAGGCTTGTAAAATGCTGAAAAAATGTTTCCGAAGTGGACTGGAAGCTGATCTGTTCACATATAGTATACTCATCAACGAGCAGTGCAAGAGGGCGAGCATTGAGCAAGCCCTAGCGCTTCTGAGCAGGATGATTAAACTTGCTGTGCAACCTGATATACACATATACACCATAATGATTTCTGCCTTATGTAAGCAAAAGAGAATGAAAGAAAGCGAAATGATTTTCGAAGAAGCAATCAGGTTCGGCTTAGTCCCTACCAAAGAAACCTACACATCCATGATTGGTGGATTCTGTAGGGATGGGAATGTCAACTTAGCAATAAAATTTCTCCACAGGATGAGTGACCATGGATGTGTCCCTGATAGTATCACTTATTGTGCTTTGATCAGCGGACTTTGCAAAGAGTCCAGGTTGAAGGAGGCTCGTCGACTATACGACTCGATGATAGACAAGGGACTTTCCCCATGCGAGGTTACTCGACTGACGTTGGCCTATGAATACTGCAAAACAGATGAATCTGCTAATGCATTGCTGATTTTGGAGAGATTAGAAAATAAACTTTGGATCCGAACTGTGAATACATTAGTGAGGAAGCTTTGCAGTGAGAAAAAAGTGGGAATGGCAGCACTGTTCTTCCATAAATTAACCGACAAGGAAAACAGAGTGGATCGTGTAACATTAGCTGCATTTATGACTGCTTGTTACGAAAGCAACAAATATGCTCTTCTTTCAGATCTGACCAAAAGGATCCGTGAAGGAAATGGCTGCCACTCACAGCTTATTTGATGGATCATCATAATTGCTAAAGTTGGATCAACAGAAAGTGCAGAGATGGCCTAGTGAGAATTTTGAGAATTTGTACATTTGATTATTTGGTGTTGTACAGCTTTAGTAATGAATTTAAATATGATCTAAGTCTGATTTTATTGAAAAAAATTCAAAGAAATTTTGAAAATTAGACCTCTGGGAAGCTGGATTATCTTATATGCCTATTATTTCAGTAACAGATTAGACCTCCGTGTCTAGGTCAGAAAAGACAATTTCCTTATGGTGTGATTTCTCAATGATCAGTTTTCGTACAGACATGTCATTTTCATATTGAATTAGCTTAATTTATATGGCTGAAATAGGACCCTTCATTTTGTAGTTCTGCAAATTACGAGTGTGTGACTTGTTTAAGAAATTTCAAATGATAAAAGAATAGAAGTTATGTGACTTGATGCTAGTAAGTATTTTTTTCATCCCTGAGACAGATCTTCCTTACTGATATGGATCTCCTTTCTAATAATTCTTGAAAATGGAACTTGATCATGTTGTTGCAAGAAAGCAAAGTTTTGTATATCAGTCAAAGTATAGAAAATAGAAGAGACAAGAGGCATTTGTACGTGCAGTGTGGCTATTCTAATCTGATCGATCTTATTTGATATAGAAATTGTACCTTTCACTTGATATGCTGTTTAAATCTAAGCATCAAATGGGGCACTTAGCATAACTTTCTTCCGGTTCACCTTTCACCATTAGAATGGCATGTTCATCAATCGATAGTGTCTTAGGATCTGGTTCTTTTCTTGCAATATGTTCAGCATTTAGATTCTCCTTTCCGTGCTGAATCTGGAAGATATTATCTTTTTGTGTCATTTGCTTGTCCTTGGGCATGCATGTGTCTCACCTACATGAAGACTAGAGGACTTGACAAAATCCCTGGTCATACTAGTACTTGCATAGTCAGTTTCTCAGTTCGCTCTTGCTATATTCATTTGATCAGTTTTGAGTTACTTGTCTTAGGTACTCACATTGGATGGGTTCTCCCTGCAACTCCCAAGAACCTGGAGTAGAGCTTGATTCTATTAGTGGAGCAAGAAGTGTCAGAGAACTGGATGAGCTTGCAAGTACAAACTACCGAGGAAAATAATCCTGTACGTGTGAGTAACATTTCTTGAAGTGTTTGTTTCCACTAGTACTTAATGTGTTTTAAGCTCGCAAGTTATAGTGCTACATATGTATTGCAGATTATGGTAGGTTTATTGGGTAAAAAAGCTGAAATTGTTTGAAAATGAGAGCTCCGAGATTTTTGCTCTCTAAGCTCCTTAGTTTGGCCGAATGGAGACTTTCATCTTTATCCTCCTCACTGCAAGCCCAAAGAGAAGGAGCTAACTAATGGATGCATGACAGTTTACACATTGGTGCGTTCAAGTGCAGGGTTGCGAAGCAGCAGGTGACTTATGAAGCGGTACTTTCTCTATCACTGCAAATTATCACTCTCTATATTTGAAATAGCAACTTGTATGCTTTTTAGTTATTCTGATCAGTGGTACAGTGTCCACCATGACTGCCGAGACATTCAATCAACTCATTCCTGTGGGGGAGCATATTGAGACACGATTGAGGGATTGATGGTTTAATGAGCCAATATTGAGGATCAAATGAAACAGTTTTTTTATTGCAATGCAAGAGATTAAGGTCGAATTTAAGGCATCCCGGAAAAGCCCAACACAAGTACCCATGCATCCTAAAACCATGGCATCGAAACAAAAAGATGACAAGAACCCCGACGCTAAGTCTGATGGTGATATACCCATTCTAGAGGATGGTTCTGTTGTGATCATTGAAGGAAAAGCCAAGGCTGTTGACGTTCTTAAAACATGGCTTGACAAAACATTTCCAGAAGATTGAGGAGAGCTTGAAACAGTTACAAGGCCTCTAAGACCCGACTCCGACGGACCTCTCCATCTATGTCAAGGCCAAAGTACCGAAGAAATTCAAATTGCCCGAGTTTGAAAAGTATGATAGCACAACTTGTCTGAAGGCTCACTTCACACCACCCCCCCCCCCCCCCCCTCCCCCGCGCTCTCCAAAAACCTGGAATGGAGTCAGTGAGGCATTCCTCAAGTAACATAAGTTCATAATGGGTATTATCCCCTCCCATGAGGATCTTGAAGGTACTGAAAAGAGGAAGACTGAGTCTGATGCACCTAGGGGACCGGCGGACCCGTTATGCGACTAGACGAACTAACGGGCTCGAAGTCAACGATCTCAAATTGAGCTCAAATTTAGTCGGCTGAAACGAAACAACGTGCTGATCAATACTCACGCCGTTGGCCGTGACTAATGATGGATTTTCGCGATTCGAGGTCGTTTAGATGGGTTTTTCTATTATTTTAATATTTTTTATGGGTTAATTTAGTAAAGGGCAGTTTCGTAATTTTGCGTTTTGATGTTTATTAATCCTAGTAGGGTTAGGTTTGGGGATATATAAGCTTGTTTTAGGATTTCGTTTGAGCAGACTTTGGATATTTTGATTGTTAATCGATTGAGAGAACAGTTTGTTCCTCGTTATCGTTTCGATTCTTCTGTTTAGCCTAATTTCTTTCGCGCTTTGGCATTAATTGGTATTAGAGCATATGTTACCTAAATCAATGGCTGAACAGAATCGAGGTGGTCGAAGACAGCATGCTCGTGGAGGCCGGGGGCGTGGAGTTGTTCCTAATGCAGATGAACAGCCGCGTCTGAGAGACCTGCGAGATATAGAAATTCTGGAACAGAGAAGGCGAATCCAGGATTTGGAGCAACGTCTTGCGAATGCAAGGCTTGACGCTCAATCCGAAGAAGAAGCAGAATCTAAGAATCCATCCGATGATGAAGAGGAGGACGTAAACCCTTTCGGGGTTCTGAACCAGGGGCGGAATCGAGGAGTACGACCTAGAAATCAGCGCTCTTCTCAAAATTTCGGGATGAAGATCGAGATTCCCGAGTTTAATGGTAAGGCTCATCCCGATGAGTTTATTGATTGGTTACATATGGTAGAACAGATTTGTGATCTTAAAGACTTAATTGAGGGGCAAAAAGTGAAGTTAGTGGCTATTAGGCTGCGAAAATATGCTTCGATTTGGTGCGAACACGTGAAAAAGCAACGCGCTAGAGAGGAGAAGCTAAAGGTGGATCGCTGGGAGAAGATGAAAAAGTTGCAAAATTTTTTTTTGCCTACCCATTTAAGCAAAGAGGCGTTTATCGAGTATCATAACGTCAAGCAAGGTGATAAAATAGTTGAGGAATTTACAGAGGAATTTGATCGCTTGCGGATGCGTTGTGATGTGGCGAAGGAAGACGAGGAGACGATTGCTCGATATCTGGCAGGCTGCGATATAAGATCTCTGATGTTGTCCAATTACAGCAATATTGGACATATGAGGATGTGTGCAGACTAGCCCTAAAGGTGGAGGGGCAGTTTAAAAGAAAGAGCAGTAAGTCCAAGTGGTCTAGCAGCAGTTCTAAGTGGTCAGGCAGCAGTTCCAAGTGGTCAAATAAAGAGTCCCGAGGGAAAGCAGGGAGTTCTTCAGCCCCGGCGGCAGTTAAGGGTGCTGATTCAAAATCTGCAACAAAAGGAGAGCATGGTAGTATTGGATCTAGCAGGGGAGGAGCTACAGGCAAGCGATGTTTCAAGTGTCAAGGACTCGGGCATTTTGCTGCTGATTATCTAAACCACAGTTTGTGACACTTATAGATAATCCAACTTTTTATGAAAACCCAACTTATGATGAATCTGATGGAGAGCAAGAAGATGCGTATCCAAATCAGGAGGATATTGTCTATGTCGATTCTGGTGAGTCTTTAGTTGTGCGTCGGGTTTTAAATATTGCTGAGGTAGATGATGAATCGTGGCTCAGGCATAATATCTTTCATACTAAGTGCACTAGTGGAGGAAAAGTGTGTAGTATGATAATTGACAGGGGAAGTTGTGAGAATGTGACATCTACCACTATGGTAGAAAAGTTGGGGTTGAAAACTGTCGAACATCCTCAACCATATAAGTTGTCATGACTTAGGAAGGGGAATGAGGTAAAAGTGAGCAAGAGGTGTTTAGTGCAATTCTCGATTGGGAAGAAATATACTGATGAAGTGTGGGGTGACGTAGTTCCAATGGATGCTTGTCATACTTTGTTAGGAAGACCTTGGCAGTTTGACAGGAAAACATAGCATGACTGATTAAAAAATACGTATACCTTCAAGAAGGAGGGTGGACCATTACTCTGGGTCCTTCAGATTTGAGAAAAGAAGGGAAAAGTAATCTACTTTCCAAATCAGAGTTCCAGGAGGAGGCAGTGAATGCCCCAGAGCTTTTTGTTGTTGTAGTCATGGAGCAGAATCTTGATAGTCCGGAAATTTTAACTCAAGTTCTGCCTATACTTGAGGAGTTTGTTGATGTCGTACCAGAGGAATTGCCACCCATGAGGGACATTCAGCATTGTATAGATCTCATTCCAGGAGCTGCTATGCCTAATAAGGCAGTTTATAGAGTGAATCCTAAGGAGCATGAGGAGATGCAGAGGCAAGTGCAGGAACTATTAGAAAATGGTGCAATTCGAGAGAGCATGAGCCCTTATGCAGTGCCAGCTTTGTTGGTTCCTAAGAAAGACGGGTCGTAGAGAATGTGCGTGGATAGCAGAGCTGTCAACAAGATCACGATCAGGTATCACTTTCCTATCCCGAGATTTGATGATTTAATTGATCAGCTGTATGGAACGACTATCTTTTCGAAGATAGACTTGAGGAGTGGATATCATCATATTAGGGTGCGTCCTGGAGATGAGTGAAAGACCGCTTTTAGAACTCGAGATGGTCTGTATGAGTGGATGGTGATGCCTTTCGGGTTATCAAACGCGCCGAGCACCTTTATGAGACTGATGAATCAGGTGTTTCGTTCTTTTATTGGCCAATTTGTCGTCGTATATTTTGATGATATTTTGGTTTATAGTGCATCGACTGATCAACACTTGCAGCATTTGAGAAGGGTGTTCGAGACATTGAGGGAGCATAAATTGTATACTAATACCAAGAAGTGTCACTTCCTGACTGATCGTGTGACCTTTTTGGGATATATAATAACCAAGGAAGGCATTCAAATGGACCCAGCTAAGGTTGAGGCTATTACAAATTGGGAGATTCCAAAAAATATTCATGAGGTACGTAGCTTTCATGGGCTTGTGTCTTTTTATCGGAGATTTGTTCGGGATTTCAGTACTATTATTGCATATCTGACGGATTGTCTGAAAGGCAGTAAATTTGTGTGGACTAAGGAGGCAGAAACTGCCTTTCAATTATTAAAGAAGAAGGTGACTAAAGCACCTGTTCTCGTGCTTCCTGACTTTAATGAGATTTTTGAGGTGCATTTTGATGCTTCAGGTGTTGGTACTGGGGGTGTCCTGAATAAAAAATGTAAACCTGTAGCATTCTTTAGTGAGAAGTTGAATGAGGCGAAAAGGAAGTATTCAACTTATGATAAAGAATTTTATGCTATTGTGAGGAGTTTGGAGCATTGGAGGCACTATCTTATTTCGAAAGAGTTTATCTTATTTTCTGATCATGAAGCCTTGAAATACATCAATGGGCAGCACAAATTGAATGCAAGGCATGTGAAGTGGGTGGAGTTCCTTCAAGTTTTCAGTTTTTCCGTCAAGCATAAAGCGGGAGTGCTAAATAGTGTGGCAGATGCATTGAGCAGAAAACACTCTTTGCTGTCTACAATGCAGGTAAAAGTTCTAGGCTTTGATACTTTTAAAGATTTATATGTTGATGATTCTCATTTTGGGGATATCTGGAGGAAGAGCAAAATGGAGCTTTTTCAGCAATTTCAGATCGTGGAAGGTTACCTATTTAAAGGTAACAGATTGTGCGTTCCTCAATGTTCTTGAAGGGAATCTATTATTATTGAGGGACATGCAGACGGTTTAGCTGGGCACTTTGGCGTGGATAAGACGAAGGCCTTGTTGAGTGAACATTTTTATTGGCCTCGGATGGAGCATGACGTGATGCGTTTTATAGAGAGATGCAGGGTATGTCATGTGGCAAAGACCAAGAGTACTAATGCTGGACTGTATATGCCTCTACCTGTTCCAGTTGCACCGTGGGAGGATGTCAATCTTGACTTTGTCTTGGGTTTGCCAAGAACGCAGCGGAATAAGGATTCAATAATGGTGGTTGTCGATAGGTTCTCGAAGATGGCCCACTTTGTCTCGTGTAGCAAGTCCTATGATGCTTCACCGGTTGCTCGATTGTTTCTACAGGAGATTGTTAAGCTGCATGGAATTTCTAAGTCCATAATCTCATATCGTGATGTGAAGTTTGTGAGTCATTTCTGGCGCACTCTTTGGAGGTACATGGCCACAAGTTTGAAGTTTAGTTCCTCTCATCATCCTCAGACTGATGGTCAGACAGAAGTTGTCAATCGAAGCTTAGGGAATTTACTGCGGAGTTTGATTGGCGATAATCCGCGACAGTGAGACTTGGCATTGCCTCAGGCGGAATTTGCATATAACAAATCTGAGAACCGAACTACAGGCAAGACTCCTTTTGAGGTGGTTTATGGGCGTAATCCAATTACTCCATTGGATCTCACACCGATACCAGTTCTCAAGCAATTTAGTTCGGAAGCTGAAGAAGATGCAAAGCATATCAAAGAGCTGCATTCCCAGGTCCATAATCAGATCAACAGGCAGAACATGAAGTATAAGCAGCTCGCGAATATACGCAAGAAAAGAGTTGTCTTCAAGGAAGGTGATCTAGTTTGGATTCACCTTAGAAAAGAACGATCTCCAGCGTGTAGGTTTGGCAAGCTTCAACCTAGAGCTGATGGACCCTTCAGAG